TTTTTTCAGTGGTTTTAAGACAATAGTTACCAATCCTGATTTTAATGCTAGGTTTTCATAAAATCATTGTATATATTTGAAAACGGTTGTACTTTCTAAGCCAAATGGTTTGATCAAATATAAAATCTTAAGAGGATCATAGGCCACTTGGTAAAACATTTATGATTGTAAAACTGTAATTAAAAAATATTGCAAAGTTGTTGACATATTATTCAGTGGTACGTTTTTATCAGCGAATAATACAATTTGTTATAAGTCTCACATTCGCTAATTTGTTCATACTTGGAATATTTGAGAGATTAACAGATATAAACATTTCTAATCAGGTGTGTAAACAAATATATGATTACAATAACAAATAAAACGCGATATCGCGTTTTTTGTTAACCAGTTTACTCAATTATAAACTGATCAACATTGTGATTAGGTGTAACAGTTCAATGAACTGTATATGAATTTAAGGCAAGCGTGCAGATGAAGATGTTTGATAAAGAAAATGTGTTTCACATCGTTGACTCGGGTAAAATTTCTCTCACGTATCGATCAACGCCTTTTATGTACATATAATTATGTGCGTTTCTGTATTGGTCTTTGAGTGGATGTCAACAACGAAACTGAAGTGCTTATGTTATAATTCCTTACTGTTTTGTATAATTAATTAATGATAAACATTACTGTTCCTGCGTTCTTGTTGGTAAAAACGTGTGTTTGGGATTTTTGTAGTGTACTGTGATTTAATACGGTGAGACACTTTTTAAATAATATATATTTTTTAGTTTGAGCAATCATATTGTGTCGATGAATAATTCACTTTTAGCCTTTCTACAACTATGTAATATTATCTATTAAATTAAGGTATTTTAGTCCAGTCATACGTTGAACTGTTAGTGCTATGGGATAATTAATTCAGATGTTAGATTTTGAAAGCTATGATGGTGTAAATGCTTTCAAATCATGTGATGATCTTGAATTTTACCAAAAGTTACTAAAAATCTGTAATGGATTTGTAGCATTGTCTATCAGTTGTGATATTTTTGTACTATTTTCGGGTTACCATTTGTTTAAAGACTTTTTTCTAACGAGATTATTTAATTTCTTTCTTAACTATTTGAATAATTAAAACACAGTTTTAATAAGTGTTTAACTGAAACGTTAATTATCATGCCTCGCAAATATCTACTTTGACCATCGTGTGGTGAACCTGTTGTATCAAACCCATTAATAGTAACTGCTTTAGAACCAAATAATTAGCTAAGCGACCAAACCATTCTCAAAGTATCAATCAAGATTTTGCTTGCCCTTCGTATGACATGATCTTTTGTTTGTGTTAAATAAAAATATTTAATGATCATATGTCTTTGTATAACGTAAAAATAAAGTGTGACAGAAAGTTAAACCTTTTACTAGTAATCACTTTAGTTACAAACCTTTGAGGTTAAGCAAAGGATTAATTCATCTAAGATCAATTTCAATCTTGAAGTGAAGTCATCAAGATGACGAGACAACACAAAATTTCTTTTACCTCTCCACTTGAGACTTATCACCAGTGTGTATAATTAGTTTCATAGCGTATAGGACTCAGGCTATTCAGGTTTCGTGGTAAACAGGATCATTTGAATCACTAAGTTACATTTCAGTGTATCTTATTTAAACTTTACTCGTTTTGCAGCATAGTACTACCCCAAAAAATCACGTTGACTAGTGCTGTCCGATATAAAATGTTTATCGTTCTTCAGATTGCGATAGAGCAACAACTTGAACTTAAAATTATTTTAACGTAACTGAATACCTCCATTTAATCAATTGCATAAAAGATCATGGTAGGATTTTATATTTCTAGTAAATAAAAACTGTTGAAATTTGAGAAAACAGTTAGCTTAAGAGTGGTCATTTATGGTAACGGACAAACGCAGCCTGAAAAGAAAACACAGAAAAACCTCACTGTCGGAGAAAAATTTCTCTGATTTTACAAAAAAACTGTCATTGACTAATATTTTGTCGTTATCATAACAACATCCCTAGGAATGTTTAAAATATAGTTTCAACAAACTAAGCTTAATGTTAACTCCGCCTACAACCCACATAAAATTAATGTTAGTCGCAGGCACACTAAAAAGAAGAAGGTTTGGGAGTGGGATCGGCATCCTCGTCCCGTAGAAAAAAACACTGCTAAGAAAACGCTCACCAAAATTAACAAATTAAATCATTTAAACTCTGCCATCCAAGTTGAAGGATCTTCTTTCAGAACAATTATGACGCGTCATGATGAAAGCCAAGGTTCTGACGAAGTCACGAAACCGATACCACTTTTAACGATCAGAGAAACAATTAATATAGATAAATGCAATGTTCGGACAATGTGGGAAACCGGAAAGATCAATCAAATAGCTGTGGAAATGAGAAGATACAACTTGATAGTACACGGAATCAGTGAAAGCGATTGAACTCGAGCTGGACAGAAAAGGATAGATCGAGGAGAGATGCTGTTGTGCTCTGATCATGAAGAAAGAAATACTGCATACACACTCAGGGAGTTGATCTGATGTTGTCCACAGACGAACAAAGAGCACTTATAGGATGGAAATCTCAAGACAAATAAGGAATGAATCATACTGAATTTTATCCAGTGTTATGCATCGACCAACTACAGCAATGAAGACGATAAAGATCAATTTTATGAGAGGCTGCAGTCGATCCTGGAGAAGTGCCCAGTGTAGGACCTGACCATCCTAATGGAAGACTTGAACGCCGCAGTCGGAATGGACAACACCGGACATGATGATGACATTGAAAGACATGAACTGACTGGGAGAAACTAGTGAGTATGGAGAGAGAGTTGCGAATTCATGTACCTCCAACAAAACGGTTATTGCTACCACTTTATTCACCCACAGACACATACACAACAACTACATGGGACTCACCGGACAACATCACACTACAGAAAACCAGATTGATCATATCTGCATCACTAGAAAATTCAGAAGACCAATGGAAGACACGAGAATCAGAAGATGAGCTGACATGGATTCACATCACCACCTGCTTGTGGCTGACAAGATGAAACTGAAGTTAAAGAAGCATTGGACAACTGGAGAAACAGCATTCCTTCGACATACCGACAAACTCAACCAATTCAACATAACTCTCAACAACAGGTTCCGAGCTTTACAAGATCTGCTGGAGGAAGAAGAAGAAGAAGAGACTACTATGATGGACAATTGGAAGCAGATCGAAGAAGCACTAACTTCAACGTTTCAGAAGGTTCTGGGCTGCAGGAAACATCATCATCATAAGCAATGGATCCCCATCGAAATGCTGAACAAGATTCAAGAAAGGAAGAAATAGAGGACATCAATCAACAACAGCCGAACAAGAACAGAGAGGGTGAAGGCCCAAGGTAAATAAACTGAAGCCAATCACTGAGATTCAAGAACAGAGGAACGGGTGGGTAGAACACTTTGAAGGAATTCCGAAAAGACTAGCCCTAGTGAACTAATCAAGAGAGGGATAGAATCAGGACCGAACAACATGCCATCTGAAGCACTGATGTTAGACAAAGAAGCGATTACGGATAATTTTGAACGGTCAATTGAATAGAGCTCACCAATATGCATCAACTTCCACGAATATGCAAAAGCATTTGACACTGCGTATAGGAGGATCCTATGGAAGCTTCTTCGACATTAAGGTGTACCTGAGACGATAGTCAACATTATACTAAATTCATACGACAGACTGCACTGCAATGTCGTGCATGGAGGACAGCTGACAATCGCATTTCAAGTGAGGACTGGTGTTATACAAGGCTGCTTACTCTCCCCCTTCTCATTTCTTCTGGTGGTTGACTGGATTGTGAAGACCTCGACATCCGAGGGGAAGCACGGAATACAATGAACAACTGGCATGCAGTTGGATTAGTCGGAATCCTCAGATGACCCAGCCCTCCGACAACATACACAGCTACAAATTCAAGTGAAGACAGTTAATGTATCGTCAGACTCTGCAGAAGTAGACCTCAAGCGAGCACCAAGCAAATCACACTTGACGGAAAAGCTCTGGAATGGGTGGAAAAATTTACGTACCTGAGAACGATCATTGATAAACAAGAGGGATCTGATGCAGATATGAAGCCACAGATTGGCAGTTCAGGGACAGCATTCCTACAGTTGAATAACATACGGAACTCAAAACATCTGTCAACCAAGATCAAAGTCACAATCTCCAATACGAACGTCAAGATTATCATGGTGTACGGAACTGGAACGTGGGGAACTACTACAACCATAATAAAAAATGTACAAGTATTTATGAACAATTATCTACGCAAGATACTCAATGTCCGTTGACCGGATACTATCAGCAACAGCGTACTGTTGGAGAGAATAAACCAGCTTCCAGCCGCAAAGGAAATTAGGAAAAGAAGTTGTAGGTGAGTAGGAGATAGATTAGGGAAATCATCAAACGGCATCACAAAGCAGGCCTTAACTTAGAATCCTGAAGATAAAAGGAAAATCTGTGGACCAAAGAACAATTTGCCCCTGGAATTCGTGGTGGACATCAAAAATGTATAGAACTTGAGAACAGCTAAAATAGGACAGCCCAGAACAGAGTTAAGTGGGAAGTCCTGGTCGGTGGCTTATGCTCCACGAATTGTAACAGCCATAAGTAACTACGCAAGTAAGTCAGTTGAATGTTAGACATTGTTGGTTACTAGTGAAAGTGAATTGTTAACATCAAATTCATTTTAATGAACTAATTTATCATGATACATTGTTTTTAAACTACATAAATTATCGCTGCATACATCAGTCGAGAGTATTTTGACAGAAAATAAAAATTAATTTGACAAAGAATTTTATTGATAATTTTTAATACTTAAAATAAATAACAAACATTTTCTTACTGTAATACATTTGCCATACTTTTGTTTTACGGAATTATGAGATCTTCATAAAATGAGCACATACTACCGATAAATCAACTGGTGGTTTGTTCGATTAGTAATAATAATAATCTTCAACAGGTGGTGGTCCAGTACAGTGTTTGACACATTCAAACATTTTTTGTACACATGCTTCAATTAGTGGTTGTGTTGTTGCATGTGCTTTTTGACATTTATCAGCTTCGACTCCACATTGAATTGTACACTCAATACTCAGTTCTTCAGCTATCGGCATTGATGTGATTACTTTGTGAGTGTAGAATAGGCTGATAATTAAAAGTTGTACCCAAAATACAGTTTGAAAATGCAACATCTTATTTACGAAAATTATCTGTTAATAAAAAAATAAAGTCTTAAAGTAGATCTTATAAATCTTTTTCAAATCAAATGTTTACGAATTAAACAAACCAATTACTTGCAATTTCATCGAAATTGGGGACCAAAATAGTACCATTTTCTTTTTAACTTTAAAGGAGATTATAGTTAGTCTGTTTAGGTGTTGAGTTGAACATGGCACGTTATTTGTGATGATTCTATTATTAACTCAAACATTGAAAATAGTTAAGTAATTTCTCAACTGAAAAATTTCATTGCACAGAATATTATTACAGCTATTTATTTAGGTTGATTCAATAAGAAACCATTTCCCTTCATATAAAATAAGCACTAAGTTCTACTTTTCCTGGGTTTTATTCTCTTCACATAATACAAACATACCACTTCTTTACACTAAATAATTTAACGTTTCCAAAAAGTCGGTGTAGACAACGTTTAGACCTAGGAATGATTTGTTTAAAAATATGAAATCCGCTATAAAACAAAAATTAACAGTTTCGAACGGGCTATATTAATAGAAAAATGACTGTTATGTGTCAGTATACAATTATTTAGAAAAAATAGGATTCCAAATAGTGAATTTCCGGTTTTGGCACGTAATCTGAAAAGGGACAACAAAAATCAATCGTCTGATTAGTAATGGTAGATTTATTAAAGACTGAAGAACTTTTGCTCTACTGACAAAAGGTCTACTGTGCTTGATTGGGATAGGAATGACAACATATGAATCTGAAGGTAAAAATCCTATTGTAAGAATAAATCTATTACTAGTGGCTTATCTAGTAATAACTCCCGGGTAAGTTATGCCATCAGTGAAACATCAGTGGAATACAGACATTTGAACAAATTTTGATATCGTGACTAAAACATTTTCTTGTCAAGCAATTTTGTTGGTCTGTTAATATGTACATCCGCAAACAATGTAAAACGTTTAAAAGCAGTTTAAAAATCCGTAAACATTTGAATTTAAGTATTTCCGAAGTAACATTTTTAAAACATGAAGTTTATAGTGGTAGTCAATTACATTACCCCACTTTTTGGTTGCTTTTAAGTGGATCTAAGCTATGGAATATTTTCATTCACAACGTACAGACTCATAAAATCCTTTTCCAAACGATACTGTTGGATCATAACAGATAACAACAAATACTATATTTTTAAAGTGCTTATTGAATGACTTTCTGTTCTATGTATTCCATTTGTGATGTTCGTTTCTTAAGTAGCAATCATCTCACGTCCGGCATGGTCGAAATCTACCTGATACTAGTTTCTGCTGGACAGCAAAACTTCAACAATCTCAAACCCTTCTATTTTTAACATATATATATATATAAAGCTTTTATCTTGATATAATCATGATCGTTCGTTTTGATGGAATTTATTAAAAGTTTACTTCTAATCATTAGTAAGATAGTGTGGGCTAAAAACTCTATTTGGAAAAAACAGGGATATATGCAACATGTTTCTATTTGATAATCCCTTTATGGTAGTATGCCACCAGTACAAATCTACATAGTACCGAAGCGAAACGAGTAGAGCAAACGTCAGCTGGGAATTGATAAGTCATTTTTTGATCCTTGGCAATAAAAAGTCAGCACTTAAGCATGATTCGTAACTATATGTCATTTGTTACATGAACTGGTGGTCAATAACTGGGTTATTCTACATTATTGTTTTTCATTAATGAAGCCATCTAAAAGATACATTTTATTAAAAAACGGTGGGCGCAAATAAAATTGACTAACTAAAAAGAAACAATATTTTGCGACTGGTTGATCAATACTGACTCTTACTGTAACCATTTATATATGTCTATATTCTTCAGTGTATTCAACAATATTTTGTAATTGTAGCATTGTTTAAGGGGACTTATTCAATTTTTGTCTATTATTTCTGTTCAATAACAACTTTGTTATCATAAGTTACAGAGACTTCAATAGTAAGGTTGCCTTTTTTAGTTTCAAATTTAAAACAGAAACAACTCCTAGATAAACTACAATGAGTGAACATCTAAATGTGGCAAAAATGAAAAAATAATATGTCCCTAATGATAATTGGCTGATTGAGTAAGATTGGTAGAAATGTGATCAAGTTACCTTGAATTATTTCTATTATCAAAACAATTTTAATGAGATGATTTGTTGTAAAAAAATAAGTGTACAAATTAAATTAAACAGTTGGTGAATAACACTGTCTCTATAGCTGCATATTGTTTCACTGGACCATATGAAAAAAAATGAAAAAAGGATTTGAAACTCGAAGAATATTTAACATAGTGAAAATTCCCATTTTGGCATTCGGCAAAAGAGGAAGGAACAAATCGAGCGAATAAATTTCTTTTAACAGTATATATATATATACTGTTTAGTGTTTTCATACGTGATTCAACGGTTAGTTCACCTATTCTATCAAATAAAGGTTATTTACACTTATGAAACAATCTACAAAATCACCAGTGACATGAAACGTTAGCTTTCACTTGGTTTGGTTTCTTATTTTTATCTTGTAGATTTATTGTTCTTTAAGATAAACGTTATTTAGTTGGTCAGTTTGTAAAGATTAATCGTGGACAGAAATTAGCTGGGGAGCTGTCGAAAATCAGGGAAAATTTGATATTACTTACCTCCTAGAAAAGTACTCTTTCTCAAAAGGAACTGATAAGCCCAAATTAGACTGAATTCAAGACTCAGATTTTACATTTTCAATTTCAAATAAATCACCTCCATCGAAATGAAAAAAGTAACTCACCAATCTTACTCACTGATAGCCACAGTATACGAGAAATTGATTGTTATTATTAATTTTCACTCAGTGGTTTTCAAATTATAATCCATACCGTGATTGTGTGTGTGAGTCCGTAGGTGTTCGCTAGCAGGAGTCCATAACTAGAGACAAGCAGTATTCTTTTATGATTTCAATGAAGTTTAGTGGGGTCTAATGGGGTCAATGTACCTTCGAAACTCTTAATTGCTGTTTTTTAGCTTATATATTACATAACAACACACTACTAAATATTTTTCATTAGAAAGCTTTTATTTTAATGAAAAAAGAGCTGTCTTACATCAATCAATAGTGTTAAGAATAATACAGAATTATGATATGACTCAGATGAAAGTAAACTCAGTCGGTTTATCATTATTGTTTTACCGGATTATGGATGCAATACAAGTGTTCGTTAACTCCAATTTAATTTATACACCTTCAATATTTCACCTTCCTCTTCTTCATGTGAATTAGATACATGCAAGTAGTTATTTCCTGTTTCAAAGTTGATAGTCTCTGACATATGGATACAGAAGAAAAAGGTAGAGATTTCGAGTTACCACTAAATTAAGCTTAAGCAAGAACAGTACATTACAACTGAGATTCTAAAGTAAACTACGTGGACAACATGCGCTGGAAACAATTAAATCATGTAGTTGAGTCTAGGAAGTAACCCTCAAGTGTAATATGCTATAGTGAATGGGAACTTAGGTGGGAAAATGTTCTGACCAACGTTTGATCATATTATAATAGAAAATATCTATCTGTTCTATAAATACAAACAATCGTGGTAAATATTTATAGGTTTTGCTTCATTTTCGGTTTATAAAAGTCACTATCCTCGAGAAGAATATCTCAAACATCTAGTAGTAATCCATTACCTATGTAGTCAAGAAAGCTAATGTCCAAATTGTAACCTACAATGTTGCTGCAAAAATATCGAGTCGAATCACAAGTTAACTGAATTTAGATACATGAACCGATCAATCCAAACTCGATGGCTTGAAGGTTTTACATTCAATATATGGTTGGAAACTCCCGCTTTCGTGTCCATATGTACTGACCTGAAGTATATTACTGAACGGTTTAAAATTTAGTAAAAAAAAAAATCTAGTGTTTCCTGGTTTTTTAGTTGGTGCTTTAGGAATCTAATTATATTAAGAAGCACTACACTGATAAGCCTGTGTATCTGATGAAGTAAGATTACTGATGTGACTGACATTGTTATATTGGCTTCTAGTTGAAATTTAGTTTGCTCGACGTTCAATTCGGGTTTCAAATCGTGTCCAAGCTTCTTTAGAAGCAGATTCGTTCTGAATCGACGCTAGTCATCCTGGTCTTTAAAAATGATTAGATGTTAGGATTAGTTTGCAATTATGTTCATTGATAGTTTAATTTAGCTGTGGTAAAGTTTTGGCCAAATTTCAGTGCTGTTAGTCAATTATTCAAGTAACTAGTTTATCAACCAACTACCGGTTTGTGTAGAAGATATTGCGACACTTAAACAATTGTGAGGTTGCTCTACATAAATCCTAATGAAGAATTCCTAAACCATTGAATACCAGATAGAAGCATTAAAGGGACGCAGTTCCATAGTTCATCCACAATAACACTAAATATATTGTAACATTACTAATATAATTATATCAAAAAATGTTTGACCCTACACTTTGTATTCGCACACCACTTACCGAGAAGCGCTATATTTGAAAACAATTTACAACTTTGATATGAATTTTTGAAAATATAATGCTCATTTGCCAGTATGAATAAATCATTTTCAAATATTCTTTGATTTAAATCGAGTCGTAAAATAGCTACTTAAAGAGGAAAAGAACTTGCTTTTTTTATTTATTTGATACCATAAATAAAATACGCCTACTCATTCTTATCTCTAAATCAAGCACAGTATTGTGGATTGTTAGTTTGCCTTTGGGAACTTGTTTTAATTTTGTCGTTATGCAACCATATTGTTTATATACCACTTCGAACTTGTCTCATTATTATTATACTATGCTAAGCATTCTATTCATTTATCATTTTAATTTAATTTTTTTATTTGTTTTTTTTTCAAGATTTAAAAATAAAAATTCATAAAAACAAATTTTTGATGATACTTTGAAAAAGATTATTCGAGAGAGATTCAACTTCCGTACAAACACAACAAATATGTCAAAGTTAGTTGTATTAAAGTTGTCTTTCAATTCGATTATTGACTATATATAAATATAT